CTATCATTTGATCTCCAGCCTCATTTCTGTCGCCAAAGCTATGTTTTCTAATTACCTGTCCTTTGTTTCCATTTTTTGCATGTCTGTTACCAGTTGTTAGTGCATCTTGATTGTGTGTTCAATCAAGACTGCAGAAGCTGGTAGACATCCTGTTTTTTCATCCTTGCCTTTTGTGGTTTGTGTGTGTATATTTGAATAATAGTTGTATTAACAAGACTTACCAGATTATTATCAGATATAAAATTTGCAAGTGTTTTCTACTTCTGTGGCTTGTATTTTTTCATTTTCTTCATAATATCTTTTGAAGGAAAAAGATGTTTAACTTTGATGAAGTCTAATGTATTTTTTTCTTTTATGCACTGTGCAATAGCATGCCTTAAAAAATTTGCTTACTCAAAAGTTACAGATATTTTTCTTCTAGAAGGCTTCTATCTAGGTCTGTGATCCATTTTGTGTTAATTTTTTTGTATGGTGTGAGGTAAGGGATCTAAGCTTTTTTTCCCCTCTAAGGATATTTTTACCCCATTGAATACCTTACATTCTCATTGGAAATCAATTGACCGTAAGCATAAGGTTTCACTTCTGAGTTTTCTATTTTTTGCCTTTGATCTATAGGTCTATCATGCCAAAACCACACGGGCTTGACTAATATATGGCTTTCCATTAGGGTGAACATCTTATTCTGGTTCATCTGGAACTTTCTAGGTTTTTAATTCAGAAAGCTTTACAACCTGGAATCCCCTCTGGTTCTGGCCAAATCAGCATAATTGGTCATCCTATAAAATGTAAAAATCAGGTAGTAAATCCTCCAGTTTTGGTGTTCTTCCTCAAACTACCTTAACAATCCTGAGTCCTTTCATGTTCATGTAGCCTTAGGATCAGACTATCATTTTTATGGTGGGGGGAAAAAAATTCCCCCAAACAACCCTATCTAGGCTTTTATAGGAATCACATTAAAACAGATCAATTTGGGCATGAATCATGCATCATTTTTCACAGCTGCATAGTACTCCTCCACAGGCTTGGACTGTGGTTCCTTTTGCCCTGTGTGAACATGCAGACCATGACCATTCTATATCTAATCTCTCACCTTGCATGCTAAGCTCTCATGTTGCTAACATCTTTCATCTGCAGAAGTAAAATTTCTAGTTTGCACTTAAAATGTTGATTGTTGTTGTTGTTATGTGCCGTCGAGTCAGAGCTGGCCCATAGCTGGCCTTCCAGCAGGATTTCAGCAGCAGTAAATTACACAGAAGGAGATTGCCCCGCTTTATCCACGGAGCAACTGGTGGATTCGAACTACATGCCTTTGGAATGGTAGTGCAACTTCTTACCACTGAGTCACCAGAGCTCCCTAAAATGTTCATAGAAAAGGATGCAAAATAAAAACCCAGACCCCTTGACAGCACTGTCAAGTCGCCTTCCAGAAACATTCCAGTGGTTTGTGCGGCTACTGAGCCAATTCCAACAGCGGGTGTTCTGGTGTGAAATGTGCGCCTTAGGCTTCTCTTGGCTGAACATAAATCCACCTGCCCATCCCCCCTCCAGCCAGTGAGCGGGCTCCCTTCACTCCACAGCTCACGTGGTGCATTTGACCGAAGGAGGGGTCTTTAGAGCAGGCTGGCGTGGGGTGGCATGGGTGTGACTGATGCTGCTGTCCCCACAGGGCACCTTGGTGAGTACTCTGCATTACGTGAAACCCACCTGTTTCTTGGGGGTACCTCAGATTTGGGAGAAGATGCAGGAAAAGATCAAGGAGACTGGGACCAAGAGCTCGGCCTTGAAGAAGAAAGTGTTCTCCTGGGCAAGGAACGTGGGCACACAGTTCAACAGCAAGAGGATGCTGGGGTATGTAGAGGGAGGCAGGCTGGGGCTCAGCCTTCTCCAGCGGGGTCTCCTCAGGCCCCTGCAGGCTCTGAGGCTGCTGACCAGCCCCCGGTACCCTGTTCCACAGAAACCCCAACATGCCCATGAGCTACTACGTGGCCAAGACCCTCGTGTTTAGCCAAGTGCGTCACTCCCTGGGCCTGGACCGCTGCCACTTCTTCCTGAACGGGGCTGCGCCTCTCACCCAGGACACGGCGGAGTTCTTCCTCAGCTTGGACATCCCGATCTGCCAGATCTATGGCATGAGCGAGAGCTCGGGGCCCCACGCGGTGTCTACGCCCAAGAAATACAGGCCCCTCAGGTGCTCAGGACTCCTGGCCCCTGCAGCCTGGTCAAGACAGGAGGAGCTGGGGCCCGGGCTGTGTCAGCTCCCCTGTGCTGCTGGAAGGGGACACCCCATGGGCGGGAGTTCCCAGAGAGCTGGGATTTCTTCTCAGAGTCACAGACTCTAAGGCATTGATTGGCTGTCCCGCACACTCTCTGGCTCCGGCTCTGGGGAGGTCCTTGCCCTCGGCCTCTGTAAGCCTGCAATCTGGGGTGCTTGGCAAATTCCTGGGGTCCCTGCCTCCTCTTCTTTGAGCTCTTATCTCAGTGTCTGTGCTGTCTGATCAGACTCCCTTCACTGGATTCTGACTCACAGTGACCCCACGCTGCAGAGTAGAGCTTCTCCGTAGGTTTTCCTAGTGCTAGGGGCTGGGCTGTTTACCGAAAGGTTAACGGTTCACATCCACCGGCTGCTTCGCATGAGGAAAATGGATTTGGATTCTCATAAAGATTCCAAGGACTCTCAGCTTGGGAGTCGGCTCTAGCCCCCTGCGACCCTCCATCGGATAGCTGAGGCTATGACTTCAATGGGAGAAGATTGTCTCCTACAGACAGAGGGGCTGGTGGGTTTGAACTGCCAACTTTCCCATTAGCAGTCCAACTCTTTGCCCCCCCCCACCGAGGCTCCTGGCAGCCCCCTTTGGCCGTGTGGCCTGTGTCTTCTCCATTCGTCTTTGCTCGCTTCATCTGCTCTTCGACACGGTAAAACCTGTGAAATCAGGAACCCGTGTAAAGGTGTCAAAGAAAAAAAAAAAGACAAACCAAAATAAAACAGAGCTTGTCAGACAAAGTGGGCAAAGAAAAACACTTCTCATTAGCTGAGAGGGATGCAAGGGTGTTAAAACTACTTACTCCCTGATCAAAGGTGGGGAACATGGGAAGCCCTGAGAGAAGCCAGTCCAGCTGAGAGCCGGCTCTGGTGGGTGCCCCTGTAACCCCAACATTAGCAGAACCATGAAAACCTGTTCCTAAGTAGGAGGGTAGCCACTGATGTAACTTAGGAGGGACCCAAGGCTTCAGACTCTGCATGGCCTCAGAGTGACCCTGCAGGATGGAGTCAAACTGCCCCGAGGGGTTCCCATGGCCACAAATCTTGACAGCAGTGGAAATGCCTTGTCTTTCGTCCCTGGAGCTGCTGGTGGATTTGAACCATTGGCCCTTTGGTTAGCAGCTGAGGTACTGTGCTCCTTAGCCAGGTGTATCCACCACTGTTGAATTGATGCCCTCTTGCAGGGGCCTGTTAGGACCGTGTGGCTGTGGCGCTGAGGTCTTCTAGGCTATGTGTTGATCTGTGCCATGACAGGGTGCCTCACTGCCCTCCCAGGGAGCCCCTCGGCATGCTCCAGCTGCCCACCTCATGGTTCATAGCCACTGCTTTCATGACCAAGGCCCGCTCCACACAGCTATGGGGGTTGAGCTCAGCCGTGTGTGTTTGGGGGAGGGGTACATCTGATCGCTGGCGTGTCCCCTTTCATGTCCCAGCAGCTGTGGGAAGGTCTTGAGTGGCTGCAGGAACCTGCTGTACCAGCAGGACCATGAGGGCGTTGGCGAGATCTGCTTCTGGGGCCGCCACATCTTCATGGGCTACCTGGAGAAGGAGGACGCCACTAAGGAGGCCATTGACAAGGACGGCTGGCTGCACTCGGGGGACCTGGGCCGCATGGACAAGCAAGGCTTCCTCTTCATCACTGGCCGGATCAAAGGTACCCAGGCCTGCAGGCGGTCCTGCAGGTAGACCGGCCCTGGCGTTCACCAACTCAGCAGCTTCCATGTGGAGTTTGATCTCCGGGTGATGCTATCCCTTTCCGGATCATTCCAACACTGGAAACCCTCCTGGGCCCCTCCTTCTCAGCCCTGCTGTTGCTGTTAGGCTCCGTCTCATAGCGACCCATGTGCAACAGTCAAAGCCTTGCCTGGCCCTTCTCCGTTCCTGCCATCTCTGCTGTGTGCAAGCCCATTTTACAGCCGTGTGCCAAGACCTCTCGTTTCCCTCTACTTTCTAAGCTTCGTGTCCTTTCCTGAGCACTGCCCCCCCCCCAACATGTCCAAAGTATGTGAGTTGGAGGCTCAACAATAAGATTTGATTTCTGTATATTTATTCTCAGTTGCTAACAGAAAGGTTGGTGGTTCAAATCCACTGACTGCTCTCTGGGCAAACGATGAGGCAGTCCACCTTCCTACAGATGCCGGCCTTGGAAACCCTACCAGGCTGCTCTACACGGTCCTTCCAGGTCATCCTGAGTCAGGATTGAATCAGTGGCAATGGGGCGAGTTGGCTTTGAGTGTATATTTGTGTGCAAACAAGTTGTACGGTCGGCTGCGAAGCGTCGGGTCGGTGGTTTGAACTCACTCCATGGTTTCTAACCTCTTGCTGTTTTAGTAAAGATAGCGGCCCAGGAAACCTATGAGACCTTTTCCCTCTCTGCCACAAGGGGTTGCTGTGAGTTGCGATTTATTTGAAGGCACCCAACAACTTCATATATTTGTTTACTTCCTGTGTTGATGTTGTTAGGTGCCACTGAGTCAACTCCAACTCATAGCAGCCCTGTAGCTGGCGTGAGCCTGCCCCATCCCCAGCCCTCTGACATGGTCAAGCCCCTTGTTACAATCCATGTCAGTCTACCTGGTGGAGGGTCTTCCTCTCTCGCTCTGACATGGGCCCTGATTTCATGTGAGATAATACAGTGAGCGTGCCCACGGCGGAAGGACTCGCTCCCGCCCTGCTCCATCCGCCCCCTCTCTGACCTGCTTGAGCCCATAGCTGCAGCCCTTGTGTCAGTCCACCACATTGAAAGGCGTCCTCTTTTCGGCTGACCCTTTCCTTCACTAAGCATCATGTCCTCCAGGGGATTGTTCCCTCCTGATAACATGTCCAAAGTGTGTACCTGAGACTGGATCTGTTGGCGTCCCTTCTACGGCGCATTCTGATTCCAACACATCTTGGGCCTGTGGAGGGGGGACGCCCGTTTCATAACAACGTGGTCTGTGCCCACGTGTGGACAGGTAGCAGCGTGATGTCACCATGGTTGAGCCCACTCCGAGCCCAACTGTGCTTTTTTCCAGAACTCCTCATCACGGCGGGCGGCGAGAACGTGGCCCCCGTCCCCATCGAGAACCTGATCAAGGACAGAATCCCCATCGTCAGTCATGCTTTGCTGGTGGGAGACCAGGCCAAGTACCTGAGCGTCCTCCTGACCTTGAAGGTGACCAGGGTCGGGATGGGGGGGCACTTTGGGTCTCCTTCTGGAGCCGCTGCTGTTACCTCACACCCTCCACCCCCAAAGGGCTCAAGACTCGCTTCTTTATTATTTGTACTGATTTGTTTTGTTGTTGTTGAAAACATACACAGCAGGACACATCCCATTTCAGTGATTTTCACCTGTATGGTTCTGTGACAATAATCCTGGGCTTTGAGGTGTGTGGCTGCTCTTTGCTCCCTCCCCAGGATCCTCCTCCCCCACTGTAAGTTCCCCACTCCCCAAAGCTCCTACCTAACCTTGCGGGCTGCCTTTGTGAGTCTCAGGCCTTCACTCTCCAGTGCTGCTTTGTTGTTAGGGCTACAGAGCCAACCAAGACTCGTCGCCGCCCTGTGGACAATAGCTCTGAACCTTGCTCTATCCGGAGCAAGCCTCACTGTCTCTGACACACCTGTCCCAATTGCACAATCACTGTGTCACTCCAGCTCATCCAGGATTTCCCTGTCCTGCTCTGATGCTCTGATCACCCACCCTTCCAAGCATGACATCCTTCTCCATTGCTGCCTTAGTTCCCAGAAACACCACAAGGGGGTGGCTTTGTTGTTGTTATGTGCCATGGAGTC